ACGTCACACTTATAGAGCATCCAGTAAGAACCGAAATTCTTACTAAATATATACAAGTCCAGCTTATTGGCGATTACACAATAACAAGGCGCTCACAAGCAGAGTAGATTAGGCGGAGTTGTCGACTGAACCAACTCTACACATATGTGAATAGAATGTAGTCGTCATCATTATTTGCGTTTTGACTTTTCAGTCGGCTGCTGCCGGCAGTGCAGCGATGAGGCAGCGACACACAGCGGGACTGTTATTTCAGAGACACTACGCCAGATATTCATACGCCAAGCTCCCCGCTTGGCGCATGAATATCACCACATGAATACCGTACTATTATAAATTCCATTTCCTCTGATCTGAAGGATTCGGATGACTAAAAATTTCAACCTCTTAACGTTCGGAACTAATCAATATCCTGCAGCCAATAAAAAATAGGTCATTTATTTGTGTTTGTCTTCATCAGTTTCATTTATGGATTGAGACGATAGACGAAGTAAACTGTCATACAACACACACGCACATACACAAGCACGCACAAACACATACAAAAACATACATATATATATATATATATATATATATATATATATATATATATATATATATATATAAGTCTCTCTGTGTACAGATGTATATATTTATATATAAATATATATATATATATAAATGTATATATAGTATGAACACGTATTTATATATATGTATATTGCATATATATATATATATATATATATATATATATATATATATATATATATATTGTGTGTGTGTGTGTGTGTGTGTAATGCTAATAGTCAGAGTTGAATCAGACCAGGAAACAGTAGTATTAAAAAGTATTCAATACGTGTCTGGAGAAACAAAATAAAGTAAAAATAACATGTAGAACTTTTAACTTTAAAACTTTGATTAAGTTTTTTATATAATTAATTTCTCATCTGATCATATAATTTTTTCTTTTCCGTAGATAAATTATACAAAAACTGTCCAAATGTTTTATTTTTCCAAGCGCTTTCGGCTATGTCTTTAACACTAGGATGGCCAGTTCCTTTGACATCTTTATTTACATTACGCCGTGAAGCAGCCATCTCTAATATATTCAATATTCAAGTCAGGAATAACAAGTCTGAAAAGAAATTCACAAATATTAGTATACCTCATACTGAAAGAAAGGGATTATATATATATATATATATATATATATATATATATATATATATATATATATATATATATATATATATATATATATATATATATATGTGATGTGTGATAGATAGATAGATAGATGGGGACATAAATACAAGTATTATTGCTTTGAGAAATCTTTCAATGCATTTACCCTATAAATAGCCTAGGTGTCAAAAACGACACCTCGGCCATTCAAGGTAAAACTTCAAAATATATTCCACTGAATATTTTTTAACGAATTAAGTCTGTTAAGCATCTTTGCTAAAATTCAATAATTGTCCATAAGCCTCAGCATCGAACCAAAACTAGTTACTCCATAGTAATTTGTTGAAAATTAGAAGCTGTCAAAAACGACACCTCGGCCATCTTAGTGTTAACCATTTTCAAGAATTAATTATATTTTTCTGTTAACTGGAAATGGATTGTTGTATGTATGTATTTAGCATTATAGAATGTTTCATTTTTAAAACGCAGTCAACATATTGTGTCCATGTTCATAGTTTATATTATTGAGTGTTGGTTTGTTTTGTTTTTATTAATAAGGCTTCCATTATTTTTAGCCTTATACAACAATCCAGTTTAAAGATATCTTACTGGAATTCTCCAAGGATTTTATAACACTACTGGGCTGTACATTAAGCAATAAGAATGTATAATTAGTCTCCATGCTTAACAGAAGAATCGTGATGAAATCGATCATAATCGGAAATGCCATGTTCATCATTAATCAAAGATAGCTAAATGATCCGAAGCTCATCAAGGATTGAAATGAAATTCAAAGATATGTTATTCCAGGATGATTTACAACTTATTCAAGATGATTTTCGCCCTCTCTAACCTTCTAACTTTCTATCCTGAAGTAAGAAAAAGCCTCACACGTTTCACGTACGATTTCATTTTCAAGTCTTTTTTCACTGCTCTTTGAACAGTCATAGCTGAAACTCCTCCTCCACGTGCCAAACGTCTTATGGATTGAGTTGGATCTTTTCTAATTGATCTTTTTAAATGATGATCCTTTTTATTGTTGTGACCTCTTGATCCAGTTTTCCTGACTACTGTTACCAATTTTTAAAGTTTATTCACCATTTATCTGCAAACCTGGGAAAGAGAAACTGAATTAATTCAGTGTTTTTCTTTTAGATATTAAACATTTTGTGGGACAGACAATTTTATGCTGTAACACGATTTGGACAATTTTGCTGTTACAGCAGGTATATGCATCACTGACAGTTCATCACGCACACACTCACAGATACATACACACACGTCGTCACGCAAACACACACACAAACACACACGCATGCACACATACATATAA